CTTTTAATTCCTCCCGAATGGGGCCTAAAGGGGTAGTTACAAAAATACTCTTAAAATAAGAAATATTTTGAAAAATCATATGAAAAGTTTTTAGAAAATAAAAAATACTGTGTAAAATAAAAAAATGATACAATGTTACTTTTTTTTATATATAAAAATTGACACTTTTTAAAAAAAATTGGCACTAACTCAAAAAAGTGACAAATACTAGAATAACACCATTCAATTGTACAGCTCCAGTAATGGATTTTGCTGTATACAACTTTGTTAAAAAATGATTTGTCGTGTGTATGTGATAATGGATATCATACTCTATTGACATTGGATCTACAGTTACTTAATAAATCAACTAGGTTCTAACATCCTCCGTTGAGCCTTTCAGTATGAATACAAAATAACAAACGACTTGTCACGTCAATTTTTAACAAAAAAGCGACGTTGAACAGTGACGCAACGTCCTTTTTTGATAAAAATGTGACATTATGTCACTTTTTTTAACATACAAGAATCTAAAATGTTAAAACCTACAAATATGTTATAGTTAGGTAATATGTTACAATTCTTGAACACTTGTACTAATATTGATCAACTACATAAATAATATCCCTGCTCCAATGACATTGTAAAGAAAATATGTTCAAAACTTCACAAAAACACATCTTTAGAAACTATACTTAAATAATAGTCACTTTTCTTAAAAAAGTGACATTATGTCACTTTTTGTTTTCAAGCTGCTAACACGTTAAGTACTAGTACTAATATTGATCAGTCACATCACCAATATTACTGTTCCATTGATATTGTAAAAAAAACATGTTCAAATTTCAAAAATCAACAATTGAAGCAGTGCTATCACTGTTAACATTGTCATTTTTTTGTTAAATCGATCATTACATACAAGACTAAAATTACCAACCAACTTATGTGCATCAAAAAGGTATTCTAACAACTAAATCAGTCAGTACATAACAAGACATATCTTCACTTCTTCATAATCATCTTCTTCTCTATCACATGACAATATCACTAATCCATCTCCTTTGACACCCATTCATTATCTGCATCATATTTCCTTCAAATTAATAAAGGCACCAAAGCATGTATTCTTAAATAAAGTCATCTGATATAGACTAAAATTTTCATTTAAGTCCGTTATCACCTTGTGTGGAGGTAATAATGTGACTTTTCCTTTGAACCAACATGTTTGAGGGATTAATAAATTTCAATCCTACAAAAAGAAAAAAAGATACAATTAAAATGAAATTCAACAACAATAACATGCATTATGACAGTCTATAACATACACGCTTGTAACTTGTCAAAACAAATACAAGAATTGAGACTTTTGCTTACATTTCACACTATCACCACCAAAAAATTAAAGAA